TGGCCTTGAACACCTCCAGGGGTGGGAAGATGACATGGGGTCTTTTCTCTCTCCTTCACCCAACCTTGCTGTGGGTTTTCTTCCACCCACACTGCAAAAATCAGAGCAGGCCCTTTGCAGCCACCCCCCCTCCAGCGCCCTGGAGGCATGAAACTGGTGGAGGAGGGATTTCCCCACATAGCACCCAGCCCTCCCACCGCCCCCACTCCTGGGAGATGAGGTGAGGGAGCCCAGGAGGAAGGAGGGCTCCCCTGGGAGCTGGCAGGCACCACGCTGGCTCTCGGAGCCAGGGAACAGCAGGATAGGGAAATGCAAAGAGCAAGCACAGCCACCATGAAAACAAACCTCTTTATGCTGCAGAGCAGCACAGATCACAAAAACCATCTTTAGACAGTCTGGTCCTTCCTAACATCACAGCAACTCATCAGGGCTACATTAGTGTGTGTAAAAAGACAGCTCAAGGCAGCAAATTTTGGAAATTCAAGCTTCCTTCTGGGTTGATTTCAGCCTGGGTTAATTGTTCTTTAAGATCTGGAATGTTTTTTGCGTCACAATTTGATTTGCCCATAGTGAGGCTCATTTGTTTCAGATCATCCTTTCCCCCCCCTTTCAGCAACAACATACCTGGTGATCCAGAAACACCTGATCAAAATAAAACATATCTAGAATGTTCAGGAGGCTTTAATAGCTCTTAATAAATATGATTAGGTATAATTTAAAGGCATTAAACAGGACAGGGGATCACTGTGCTGGGTGTGGTGCCAAACAAAGAAGTGCAACCACGTTTGCTCCCTGAAATGTGCCAACTCTGAGGAGAAACTGAAAAAATCAAGGAAAATGAAGTGCTTTAACATGTTGACAGAGAGTAAAGTGAAGCACTGAATGATCAAATGGTTTGTGGGAGGGCACACGGGGCTCTGGCAGAGCCTGGATGTGAATCTAGATCAGAAGGTGTCCCCAAGCCAGATAACTGCTGTTCCCTCTCTCACATCTGTCTCCACGGCCCCTCTTAAGGAAGGAGCAGGGAAAAATCACTGTGATGAAAACAGCACTGCAGGAAAGGGCTGATGGAAAGGTCTCATGTCTCCTGCAGCCTTGCTCCTGGCCCTCTTGGCAGGAGGAGAACATTAATGCTGGGGAGAGAGATTAATGCACAGACCTTGAGCCAGCTCGGGGGAGGCACAACTGTGTCCATGCTCCACAAAAAGCGAGTTCAGACATGTGTCAGTACAGCTGAGCTGGCTGCATTTCTGTGTTGGATAAATACTGATTGATAAAAAGCTGCCAAGTGTTCAAATAACTGCCTTAGGAGCCTATTTTGTTTTATTTTTTTATTGGAGTTTGCTAGTTTTTCTGCATCAAGACCATCCCAAGCATTTGGAACCCATCTGTGGTGACTGTGCATCCAACACTGTCCAAAAGGACGTGATGGAGGGATCAGAGATTTAAGATTCCTGTCCCCTGTGGCTCCTTACAAGCATCATTAAAAGCGGGCTTTTCAAACTGATCCTGTGATGCTGAGACACTGCTTTTTTCCCATCCCATCTCCACATTTTCACTTCCAGATTTGCCCTTTGGCAGAGAGAAATGCCCATGGAAAGACAGCCCTGCATCACTGTTGGTAAAATGCTGATTTTTTTCATGTCATGCAACTTCTGTGAAACACCAGCAGGAAATAACACAGTGGGTGGCTTTAGAAATCCATATAGAAATTGCAGTAATAGGGCTAATTACAAAAAAATCATCACTTATCTGGGTCTCACACACAAAACCTGTGCTTTTAAGATGTACCTTTGGTCTCTGCAGGAGTCTGACTTTTAAATGAAAGAAAACAAACATACGAGCAATCGGAACCCTTCTTTTTGTGGAATGCTTTCTTCCTAAGATAATCAATGTCCTAAAGACACTGTGTACAGCATATAATAATGAGAAACACACAGAAGTCCTGAGGAATTGGAATTGCACCCGAATCCTTGCTCTGCAAAGAGCACATAGCTTCTACGTTGCAGTGTAGAAATTGGAATTTCTTGAAGGTCAGTGACCACAGATAGAAATTTTTTTATTAGGCAATGTTAATTAGATTAAGGCTGGTCTAATCAAAGATGTCAGGAGTCGGCTTTGGCTCTGCTTGGCAGAGCAGAACCTGCTAATCCAAGTGCCACAGATGCTGAGACATTCCTTCATATGGCATGAGCCAAGTTCCGTGTGCTGCCAAGAGCTTCCTCTGAAATTCATGGGAACTGGGAGTGTGTGGCACCTGGCAAGACCAAGCTTGCTGTAAAAACCCTTTGGAAAGGACATGATTTGCATACCAGGACCTGGTGTAGTAAACTGACTGTTGCCTCAGCTTTACTGTTTTCCAGCACGAGCCGACACCAGGATCGTGGTGTAGGAAAGCTTGTAAACCAGGGTGGGGAGTCTGCAGCCTGAGGATTTACAGGCTGGAATGTCATTCATACAGCCCTGGTCATGTGGCTCCCTCTTCCATGGTTTTACAATAAAATCTTGGCTGATGTGTTAGTAAAGCCTATTTTGCCCTGAGAAAGGAAGAGATTCCCCACCACTGTTGCTGAGAAACATCAGATCCATTGCACAACTCTGCTGGGAAACATGCAGAGGAGCCCAGCAGCTACTGAGCCAGCCCGTGCCTAGACTTGGCATTGACTTGGAGAGCACTGCAAGAGAATTGAACTCGATAAACCTTCACACCTAGTTCACACAGAGAATGAAAAAAGGCACATTTTCCCTCTTCCACCTGTGAGTGCCAAAGTTTTAAGCTCCGAAGTCAAGATGCCCAAAGCCAAACTTGCTGATGAGATGTGGACCCACATATTCTCCCTGTAGTTGGCACCTCAAATTCTAAGTTCAGTTTTGGGTCCCTCAGTTCAGGAAGGACATTGAGGAGCTGAAGCATTTCCAGAGGGGGGCAATGGAGGTGGGGAAGAGCCTGGAGCACAAGTCTGATGAAGAGTTGCTGAGGGAGCTGGGGAGGCTCAGCCTGGAGAAAAGGAGGCTCGGGGGGACCTTCTGGCTCTGCAACTCCATGACAGGAGGGTGGAGCCAGGGGAGATCAGGCTCTGCTCTCAGGGAACACAGGATGATAGGAAACAGCCTCAAGTTACACCAGGGGATGTTGGGTTGGATATTAGGAAAAACTCTTCATGGAAAGGGTTGTCCAGCCCTTGCACAGGCTGCCCAAGGCAGTGGTGGAATCCCCATCCCTGGAGGGATTTAAAAGCCACGTGGATGTGGCACTTGGGGGGACGTGGGTCAGTGGTGGCCTTGGCAGTGCTGGGAGAACAGTTGGACTTGATGATCTTAGAGGGCTTTTACAACCTTAATGATTCCAGGATTGTTCTGGATTGCCTGAAGGAAACCTGTGTGCCCCATTGGTGTTCTGCTCTCCCTTGCCTCGTGCAGCAGCAGCTGCAGGAGGGATATTGGAGCTGGGACGTGCAGCCGTGCTGGAGAGAGGGCTTCAGCCTGTCCAGCCTGCTGTAGCAAAGGGATTGAGTCAACTCCACGTGGATTTGGGGTCTGTTTTGTGTGTTCCCTGCCAGGAGATCTGGGAGGGCAGCACACTGGTTAAGCTCTGCCAGAAGGGCATGGGAGGCAGGCGAGAATCCTGCCAAAAACCTGTGCCAGCTGGGAGTGGGGGGAATGTGCTGCTGCAACGAGAGGCCTGGTCTGGGTTGATCATCACAGGGGAGCTCAAAGTGATTCCATTCAGGAGCATCCTAAATGCTCCTGGTTTAGGAGCATTTACCTGGGGGGGAGATAAAACTTGCCAGCTGAGGGCTCTGCAGGCTGGGAGATGCTACTGCCATGGGATAAAACAAAGGGGAAGCAGCAGTGTAACATATTTATGGTGAGACATTGGCACAGGTTGCCCAGAGAAGCTGTGCCTGCCCCATCCCTGGAAGTGTTCCAGGCCAGGTTGGAGGGGCTTGGAGCAACCTGGTCTAGTGGTGATTCTGTCTGGGAAGTGGTGGACTCATCATCCCTGGAAGAGTTCAAGAAACATGCAGATGTGGTGTATGGGGCTAGAGCTGAGTGGTGAGCTTGGCAGTGCTGGGGGAATGGTTGAACTTGATGGTCTCTGAGGTCTTTCCCAGTGTTAATGATTCCATGATTCCATGCTGTGGGCTGTCTGCTGTTGGTGGGAATGGGAACACTCCCAGGCAGAGGGAAAGGCTGCAGCATGTCCCTCCTGCAGCCTTGGCTGAAAAAGAGCCAGTGGGGCTCCTGGGTGCTGGGAATCGGGATCTGGAAGTGAAAATGAAAGGGAAACTCTGGGAAGTGGCAGGAGAAGGGGCAGCATGAGAGCATCACTGCAAAACCCAGCGAGGCAAAGCACAGCAGGCAACAGGCTGGGATGTGCTTGGATGTTCCTCAGAGAAGGATCCTTGTGCTGCAAGATGTTCCCACAGCCAACCCTGTAGGCACCCTGATCCCTGATTCCAGCATGTCTCTTGGATCTGCACTGGAAGTCAGTGGGTCAGAGGCTGGCAGAGGAGCTCTGTTCTCAGGGCACACGCAGTGCCAGCTGTGCTTGCAGTCTCGAGAGCTGCCCCAGCGTGGCTTTGCCCCACAGGCTGATGAGTGCCCCTTGCCCTCTCCCTCTCCAAAGTGCAACGGGACACAAGGAGGGAAAGGACCACCAAGAGCCAGAGGGAAACATTTGTGCCTCCCTCCCCGAGAACTCCTTGGGAAGCACTTTCCCTGAGAAGCAAATCCCTTGCCTCCCCAGGGATGACCCAAGTCTATAGTTTTCTTGGGGAACACCAGCACACCCTTAAGCAAGATCTTGGAAGTGCACAGTGTTGTGCAAGTGGCCCTTCAGGACAGGCCCTTTTGCAGCCTGAAGTGCCTGTGTCCCAGGGGGTGTGTGCCCACGGCTCAAGGGTCAAAAGAGAGGCAGGAGCGGGCCCGTGAGCTGCAGGGCTGAGGGTTTGTGCCCTTTCAGTTGCACCAAGATGCAGATAAGGGGGAGAAAACAAATGTTTATTATTGTGAGGGCAAGGAGAGGGATGAAGTGGGGTCAGGAGAAGGGAATGGAAGGAGGCAGCCGCCCCTGGGCCTGCAGAGGCCAGGAGCTGCCTGGCCTTGCAGGTTGGCTCAGTTGGGTCCAGCATCAGCTGCAGGTGCAGCCGCGCTGAGAAGTGGTCCCTGGGCTGTTGCGGGGCTCTTGCAGGGACATTGGTCGTCTCATGGCACGGCTGTAAGCGTCCACGAGTGCAGTTCTGACGCTGGAGACGGAGGGGCAGTCGTCGTCACTCATGGCTGTAAGGGCTGGAAGAGAGAGGAAGGGAGCCGGGGTCAAAGCGTGGCTGTGCAGGGACCCCAGGAGCCCCTCCTGCCAGGGCCATGCCAGGCAGCTCTTGGCACAGCCAGGAGGGAGCAGGGGCCAAGAGGATGAGCGGGAAAGTGCTGGGCACCAATGGGCACCCTGCCCCTGCCATGTGTGTGTGCTCTGGCCATGGTGTGCAGGGAGCAGAGCCCTGTGCAGGCAGGGCAGGGATTGCAGCTCCCTGCCCAGGGTCTGTGCTGGTCCCCGGCAGCCCCCAGGGAGGCCCCTCTGCCCTCACTCACCCTTGAGGATGGGCCACAGGTCTTGCTGCCACTCCCTCATGTGCCAGCCGGCGACCCCTGGGAACACAGAGGCTGTCAGGGCCCAGGGGCTCCGCATGGGGAGGCCCCGGGGCTGGGCTGGCAGAGGGCGGCAGCAGCCGCCAGGGCACTCGGGGCTCCCCAGCACATCCCTGGGCCCATCCTGCTGCCGCTGCAGCAGCCGGGGCTGGGGCCGAGCTGCAGCGGGGCGGGGAGGGACCGCGGCCTCGGGGCTCACCCATGAACCTGACGGCCGCCTCTCGCAGGGGCTCCTGTGGGCTCTGCAGGTAGGGCAGGGCCTGCTGCAGGTGCTCGCCCCTTCGGCTCCTGTCCTTTTCCATCTGCAGAGAGTAGGGGGGTGTCTGTGGTTGTAGCAGTGGGCAGGGGCACAGGGCCAGCACCGCACACTGGGCATTGGGGGCTTCTCCAGCCTGGGGCTGGGCCTCCATGCTCGTCCTTACCAGGTAGTCACAGAACCTGAAGGGCTGCTCTGTCTTCAGCAGCTGCTCCAGGTCCTTCCTCTGGAGGAAGCTTGCAGCCCAGAGCAGCGCTTCCCGAGCGGCCTGCAGAGCAGCAGAGAGCGGGACATGGCACCGCAGCCCAGGGCACAGCCCCTGTGTCCCTGCTCCAAGGCCAGCAGGAGGCCGGAGCCCTTGAGGCCCCAGGGCAGGAGGCAGCCCAGCCCCTGCCCCGGGGACACCAGAGCCCAGCAGTGCTCACCTCTGCCACGCGCTGGTTCTCGTCGTGCCAGCGGAAGAACAGTGGGACCAGGCTCTGGCGCACCTGCATCTCCCAGGGCTCTGTTCCCTCTTCCGCCAGCACCTCCATCACCTCTCGGAAGAGGCGAATGGAGAGCAGCTGCACGTGGCTGTTGTCCTGGGGCCAAAGAAGAGACAAAGACCTCAGCACTGCCTGCTCCAGGCCCTCCAGGCCCAGACCTGAAACTCCACCAAGTTTCCTGGCAGCACCCAGTGCCTGTGGCTGGGGGCACAGAGCCTTACGTTGTCAAAGACTGGCCGGAGCGCCTCAGCCAGCCTCAGGGCAGTGGAGCTGAGTCCCTTCCTGTCTTCCTCATCCTGGAGCACATTCAGGAACGTGGAGAGGGTCGTGGCGACCAGCTCTCCATCTCCATCACGCAGCAGCTCCAGGAGGTGCTCAGACAGGCTGCAGATGCTTTTGACCTGTGGGGAACAGAAGGCTGTGCTGGGAAGCCCTGAACAGCTGCCCCACCAACCCCACTCTGGCAGTGCAAGCCCACGTTGCTGCCCTGGGGACCAGAGGCCAAAGGCCTGTCCCAGTGGGCCTGTCCCCACATTCAACAACAGCACCAGCTTAGTCATCTTTAAGCTGCTTGATCTTATGTTTATGGGGCTCAATTTCTTTTTTGCAGCTGCTCAATCTGTTTCTGGTGGTGATGGGTCTCTTCCTCGTGTTTCCGTAAGTCAGAGAGCTGCTCCTGCTCCTTCTCTCTGCAGTACTGCTCCTCCTTGGCTACTGGCTTCTTCCCGAATGTGCCGCCGGCATCGCAGATGAAGAGGGAGGCAGGAGAGCTGGGAGCAGCTGCCACAGCTCCCGAAGCCCAGCCAAGGCCAAGCCACTGCCCTCTCCAGCCCCAGGCTGCCCGTGTGGCTTCATCCCCTGCCCCCTTCTCACCATGGAGGGATCCCCGCTGAGCACCAGGAGCCCTCGCAGAGCCAGGCGCTGCCTCTCTGGGCACTGGCTCTGCAGGTGCCTTGCCAGGATCTGCAGGACACTGTCATCACCTGCGCTCACGTCCAAATAGTTGAGGACCTGGAAGGCAGAGAGCAGTGCCGGGGTGGGCGGGCGGCAGGAGCGCGGAGCCGGCCAGGGCTGGGCCCAGGCAGCAGCACAGGGCGCAGGCACCGTCCCGGGCAGCTGCGGCTGTGAGAGGGCAGAGAGGGGGAGGCAGCGGGGCCAGGCAGCGCTGGCCATCGGGCTCACCTCGACAAGGAAGGCCAGGGCAGGCAGCTCCCAGCGGGGCCCCTCCCTGCTGAGCAGCCCCAGCAGGTGCCTTGCCAGCGGGCCATAGGAGGGGAGCAACACGTGGTGCATCTCCCTGTCAGGGCAAAAAGGGAACCCTCGGCCTTGAGTTTAGTGGGCAAAGCTCTGCCGGGACTGACTGACTCGACTGTCCCTTGGGGCCAAGGCCCTCTGCCCACGCCCCCAGGGGCTGTGTGGTCTGCCCCGTGCCCAGGGCAGAGGTGCCGGGGGCAGCGGGGACAAGGCTGTCTCACCTGGCCAGCAGCCCCACCGCGTAGTGGTGGGTGTCAGCAGAGAGGAGCGCGTCCCAGCCACGCTTGCGCTCCACTGACACCAGCTCCTGGTCCCACTGCAGCCGGCAGAGCAGGGCCCGGATGGTCTGGACCACAAAGCTGTGTGCAGAGCAAAGGCCATGTCAGGCTGGGAGCCCTGGCCCCAGCCCCAAGGGCACGGCAGGGAGAGGGGACGGGCATGGAGCACCTGTTGGGGTGAGTGGGAAGGCCATGTTGCTCCTGGCATCCCCTCCAGAAGGTGCTGACCTCCTGTGGCATCTGCTCAGTGCTCAGAGAAACTTGGCAGAGCAGAGCCAGGAGGAGACGAGGGGCATAAACGAACAGTGCATCTTGGCACTGGGGCTCCTGGACCATCAGCCACAGGGCCAGGGTTGCCTGCAAGAAAGCCACGCGGAGACACCCTCAGTGCCCAGAGGGAGGGAGAGGCCAGGGAGAGCCAGGGGGAGCAGCCGGCCTGCTGCCCCTGAACTTGCCCCTCAGCCCCATTTGCAGCCCAAGGCCTGAGGGAGATGCAAGGGTGGGGGAAGATGGAGAGTCGCTGGAGAGGCGAAGTGGGGAGGAGCAAAGGCCACTTCCAGAAACTCACAGCCAGGGCAAAGACGTCCATGTGGTCCCCGTTGGAGGTGGACACGCTGTGCAGTGGCCAGTCCTCCATCACCCCGAGCAGCTTTGGCAGCACCTTGTGCGCTGTGGTGGCCGAGGAGGCGATGGTCCTCCACAGGATTGCAGCAGCTCTGTGGAGACAGAGCTCTGGGTCAGGGGGGTCTGGACCTTGGGAGCTGTGGGGGCCCAGGTGACAGAGCCATGGTGCCTTGAGGGGTAGGGAGGGCACATGGCAGCAGGATCAGGGACTGACATGCCAGGGCTGGGAAGTGGAGGGGTCAGAGGGTGCTGAAACTGTCCACCTGTCTGTCAGACCAGGAGGGACAGGCTGGGTGGGGTGCTGGGTTGTAAAGGCTGGTGAGCCCTGAGGCAGCAAAGCAGCTGGGCTCTGTACCTGTCACACGCTGGGGCACAGTGCAGGAGAGTCATCACCACGTGCCCAGGGTGTGCGTGGGCCAGCCTGCGGATGGCAATGGGCGGCCTGACCTCTGCAGACTCCCGGCACGTGAGCCACTGGTGGATGGATCTGACAATGGCTGGCACCTGGAGGGGAGTGGGAGACACTTGGAGAGCTGCCAGAGCCAGCAGGTTGCCCAGCTTGCCGCAGGAAGGGCTTCCCTTCCCACCACACTCTGCTGGCCTCAAAGGCTCTGGGGGCCCAGCAGACCGAAGCATCCCCCCGCCATGGCACAGTCTGGTCTTGAGGGCACCTGCGGGGGAGAAACCTCGGAAACCCCCCTGGAGGCCAAGTGTGACGCAATGGCCTGCGGGGCTCCTGCCACAGGGACTGGGGATGGCTTGGAAAAGCCCCTGGTGGCAAAGTCTCACAAAATGGCCTCAAGGGCCACTGCCACAGGGACTGGTGATGGTTTGGAAAAGCCCCTGGTGGCAAAGTCTCAAAAAATGGCCTCAAGGGATGAGGTCTCATGGCCAAGACTGATGGTAGAAGAAACCCTAAAGGGCAGAACTGCCTTGCAAATATTTTTGCCAGTATTTTGTGTTTTGAAGCTCATGCCTTCAGGTATTTTCCTGAAGACAAATTCACCAGTGTTGTCATGAGGATTTATTTAGTCATTCCTGCAGCAAAATACTGCTACAAACCTTGCTTACCTGGCAGCTGAGCTCCTTTCCTGCTGGTGATTCTTATCTCTGAGTTGAACAAAGCACATGAAATATGCTTTCATCTGATTGGGAAGCAGGTTAGAAGGATAAGAAGAGATAAGAAGGGACTTGTTTGCCAGTGGGATATGCAAAGATTACGGGAACGTTGCATCAGCCCTGCACAACAGCAAGGTGGCTGATGGAGCCTCTGAGAGGCAATAATCAGGACTCACCTCAAAATATATGGTGCACCTCATGTGCATTTTGTTGTGACTGAGCCTCTGGCACTTTTTTTGTGTGTGTATGTTTTGTTTATACACAAACCCCCAAACCAAAACCAACCAATCAGACAAAAAAAACCCAAACCAGACCCCCAAAAGTGTTTATGATGTTCTAATGTTATGTGAATTTTTCTGTTATCTCACCTACTCCAGCTCCTATGAGTTGGACAATGAAATTTCATAGAATTCTGTGACTTGGAAGGGACCCACAAGGATCATCAAGTCCAATTCCTGGCCCTGCACAGGACACACCAACAATCCCACCATATGCCTGAGAGGCTTGTCCAAATGCTCCTTGAGCTCCGTCAGGCTTGGGGCCATGACCACTGCCCTGGGGAGCCTGTTCAGGGCCTGACTACTCTCTCTGGATGAAGAAATTTGACCTAGTTCTGAAGGCATGCAACCCAGTCTTGCTCTCCTTGGCATTAGAAGTAAATTTAAGCAACCTCTTCTCTCCTTACCCATTTACTGCTCTATTTCAGCCTGTAAGTCCCATTAATTTTGCTTTTTGCAGATCCCAGTTTTACGAGGGAAAACGTTTGGATTTTATTGCTATCATATGCTGTGAAGGTTTGACTCAATATCTACTCTAAACGAGAAAAGTGTATAAAAATAAAGTGGCCCTTTCTGATCCGAGGACCTTGCACAACACATGAACATTTTGTAACAGCAGCTGGTCCAAGGGTCCTACTGGGACATGAGATCCTGGCTTTGCTTTTGAGAAGAAATTCTTGCTTGTGAGGGTGGTGAGGCCCTGGCAGAGGTTGCCCAGAGAAGTTGTGGCAGCCCCATCCCTGGAAGTGTTCCAGGCCAGGCTGGACAGGGCTTGGGGCAACCTGGTCTAGTGGAAGGTGTCTCTGCCCGTGGAATGAAATAGTATTTAAGGTCCCTTCTAAATGAGTCTTATTTTATGCACAGAGCAGCCCCATGAGCATCTGTAAGTCCTGCTGACACACTGAATCACATTGGAAAAAAAACCTTGGTCCTGTTTCAAAACCAGCCAAACTCCCATCATCTTCCCTGGGGCCAGGATGTTACTCTGGGACTCTCTGTACCACAAGCTGTTCTGTGCAGATGGACTCTGATCCTCTTCAAAGCTTCACTGGATTTCCTGGGGCTGCAGATGGCTCGGGGATCTCCTGCATGGAGCAGGGCTGGAGCAAGTGCTCAGAGGAAAGAGACAACAGAGCCACCAGCTTGGAGGGACTGCAGCGTGCTGTAGCTGGACCAGCTTTGCAGATCCTACAGCCTTCTGGAGCTTTCCTACTGGGATGGTGGGCCAGAAGGTGTCAACCAGGAGTCAGAGGAAGACAGCAGCAAAGTTCAAACCTGAGTGTGCTGCTAAACACTGCTTAAAATTCCCTGGAGGTTTCAAGGACAAAGAGCGATGTTAAACACCTCCGCTCCCTTGGAATCCACCTTTTCCTAATGTCACTGTTTTCCAAACGATGGAAAACCAAGTATCCTCTCTAATGTGTGGTGAGAAGGTCAAACCCACTGCAATTTGGGAATATGATGCTTTCGACCAGGGCTTTCCCGAGGAAAACATTTCCCATAAATTTTTGACATTTCCAATCCTGGAAAAGTACTGCTTGGGCCACGAACAGTGGTAATCAGGAGGGGAAAAAAATAGGGAGATGTCTCATATGACCACGAGATGGCAGCTGGAGCCCGGGAAGTTCTTTGTGGACACAGTAGCTCCCATGGAAAACGGAGTCATTTGCCAACCCAGCCTGCATTTGGGAATATGCACCTGCACCGCGTTGGCTTTGAACATTTCGCGTGCGTGCTCTGAGTGGGAGAGCTCTGGAATATCTGATTACCCCTTTCATTTCCCAGCTCCTCTGGGCCTTCCTCGATTAGTCAGTATCAAATAAATGGTTTTAACCAATGTAATCCCTGTTGATAGGAAAACAGCAGTGCACCTGGTTTAACACAGCTGTTAGGATCCAGGCTGCTCCGACACCTAATTCAGCAGTGATCTGGAGCCAGATGCTCTGCCCTCCTCATGCCATGACTGCTCCTGTCTGCAATTTCTCCTCGAGCTGGACTTTAAAAGGCTAATTGTGCATGTTGTTAATCAATGATTGTGTTTCATTCCAGAGGAGACCACATTTCAGCAGCACTTTAAGCAAGCCCTTGGATGCCCTTCATCCCCGCAATGCAATTGGATGGGCTCTGCAAAGCTCTGGCCTGTGGAGGTGCCCCCTCCAAGGTTTGGGAGAGGAGTCACAAGCAGTTAAACAGCTCTCGATGCAGGCAGGGTGAGGCCTGAGGCTTCTCAGCCTTGTTAACATCCTCACAGGGACCAGAGAAATGCGAACTGGAAAGCAGCACTTTAGGGCAGAAATTAATTATCCTGGTACAATGAAGGAATGTTCATTTACATAGATGGATTTTCAGACCGTGGAAGAAGCACATGCGGTGGTCAAGGTAGTAATTTGGAAATCCTGCTGGGAAGCCATTTGGTTTGGAGCCAGCCTACATGAGAACTGTCAGTGCATTTGGCTGCTTTCCCCAGAAGTGGCAGCGTGGTACGTTCCATCCCCACCTTTCCCAGCTGCTCTGCATATGCCAACACTGCACGGGAATCCTGCCCTTTGCATCGTGGAAAATATGCTATAATTTCCATAATTCTGCCTGTGGAGATCTTCACATGATGTTCAGCCATCACCGCCCATCTTCACTCTGTTCCACCTCTGTAATTCCCTATTGAACCATTGTTTTCCCAGTTGGGGAGCTGATAATCACGACACAAACTGCTGCAGCGCCGAGCAATTTTCTCAGCTGAGCCAGGTAACAGCACCTGCCCCTTCAGAACCGCTTTAAAGAACAAAAGAAATTGGTGTTCAGTTTATAATTCATCTTAATGTGGCACTCTGAGGTGCTGGTTGGCACAACTGAAGCCAGAGGAAGATGGCATGATTCCACCAAGCTAGGACAGACCCACCCTCCTAAAGCCTGATACCCCTCAAGATGACCACGTTGCCCATGATATCTCATGCCAGAAGAAAACATACCTGCTCCTCTCCTACCTTGCTTTTACCTGCCATGAGGAGACAGTTGCTAGGAGCTGTCACGCTTCTTGCAGCAGCAGGAGGGGATTTCTTGGCAATTGGGAAGTGATAGGAAACAGTCACTGTGGGAATGTTGAACAGAACAAGGAGAAAATTGTTATCAGCCCTGGAAAAAGGTGAAGCAACATCACAGTGATTTCTGTGCTTCTTGAACAGTTTGGTTTGTGGGAAGGGAACTGCCACCACTCTGGGTGAATTTGTTTCCTCTCTCCAAAGAGCGTAAGCTGATTTTATAGGACAGGGGAACACAGCCGGTTCAGAGCTGTTGGTTTCTCTTTTCCCTGACCTATCGTGAGTTATTTACAAAGGTTTAGACCGAGTTAAAGCAAAGATGAATTTCGGAGCCTGTGGGTTAATATCTTGCAGCTGCTTTTCTGAGGCCTGATCCAAGGACCAACAATGTTACCAGGCACCTTCCCTCTGACATCAGGGGGCATTAGGATGGGATTTATGCATTTGGCAGAGGTTTTCTAATAATTTATTTAAACAATGGAGAGAGCAGCAGTGATTCAAGTCAGGCTGAAGGTTCAAGATTAGCACTGGAGTGCCAAGTCTTGTGGGTTTGCATGTGTTTGGAAATGGGGCACTAACCTCATGAGTGATAGAGATCTCATGAGGGGGGGACAATTCCCACCCTATTCTCCCCTCATCTTCAAAGCTGTTGCATCCTGATGACACCCTCTTGCCATCCCCGGGGCTCTGTGGGTTCTCAGGAGCCAGGTCATAGAATCATAGAATGGTAGAATGATTTGGGTTAGAAGAGACCTTAAAGATCATCTCATTCTATCCCTCTGCCATGGGCAGGGACACCTTTCACTTGAATAGGTTGCTCCAAGCCCTGTTCAACCTGGCCTTGAACACTTCCAGGGATGGGGCAGCCACAGCTTCTCTGGGCACCCTGTGCCAGGGCCTCACCACCCTCACAGGGAAGGATTTTTTTGTAATTGGGTCATGCACTGATGGATTCACACTGCCCCTGTCCCACTGCTTTTTGAGCATTATCTACAACCAGGAAGCCAAGTGTCCATGGATGCAGTCAAACATCAGCTTCTGGAGATGATTCACCTGTGCAATGTGATGCACTGGGTCCGTGTGTCTCGATATGAAGCTGGTTCTGCAGCCAGGAGCTGGGATACCAATTGATGTCTCATGCAGTATAATGAGGGAATTGAAAAAACAGGAAAGCGACCTTACAAATCACATCTGGGATCATGAATTCCAAAGCC